TATACCTCTCTTAGTCCAGAGAGCATAGCAGGAACAAGATCTTACAAGAGCTTAGTTATTATACTCAGGAGAGTATAGTGATTATAGCAATCCCTAAAAGTGTAGTTCTCCAATCCCCCAAACATGAGCCAAAACTTCATGAAGGTGCAATATGATCTGATCTTTAATGGTTCAGGTTGGCTTTTATACAATTCTTCAGGTCAGAGGAACACCCCCTGGACCTGACGGGGCACAGGAACACAAAGGACACAAACCAATAAGAACAAACTTACAGTCTGTGACACTCCCATGTACAGCACATAAACCCTCCCCTCTGCTTGGAAGATAATTGAGTAAAGTCCTGTAAGTAACTCAATTATCTCCAGGCAGAAAAAACACATTTTCACAAAGTTCAGAAAGTACCCCAAAACAATACATTCCCCCAAAAATCCCCGGATTGCCCTGATCTGGATGAACAAAATATCCAAAAATCACCCAGATCAGAGTAGGGGTTCAAAAGTTTCATAGAAGTCTCTTTTTAACCGTCCGCAAGCATGGTTTCATGCCCAAAACAGTTCCAGAGAATCAGGGTTTGCGGCCGGTCTAGTTCGGTAGTTTGCAAATGAAAATACTACCGAACGCAGTCAATAGTCTTACCTGGAGGTTTTTCCCTTCATCCAGATGAAAAATCTCACTGAACAGTGCCCTTCTAAGCTTAATAGAAATGAACACAGGCGATGATGGAAGTCCAGCTGGAGTTTCTGTATCTTATTTCAGTTCCATGAGTTTCATGCCCAAACCCCCCTGCTTGCGTTCATGCGAACAAGATGCCCCTCACTTCGTGGTTGTTCATAGGAATCACGACCACCTAGACAACCAATTAGAACACTGTGGTGAAAAATGTTCCAAGTTGTTAATAGGGGTTAACAAGCTCCAGGGTGGTCTCTGTTCATGCGGTTGTTCGGTAAACAAACCATTTGGTCCCAATTGCACGAACAGAGCCTGTTTGAGATACATTAGCCAGTTCTATTGCAGGGGCCATAGTCACAGGGTAAAAGGCTGGCAAGTAGTCCCCTCCAAGAACCAGTGGCGAAGTTGCTTTCGTCACAGTTGACTTCTTTTTTTTTGTGGGGTGCTCATGCCCCAGAGCATTTATTGACACTAAGTTAAGTGCATCTTTGAGCCACTCTCAATCTAACCCCCTCCTCTCTGCCAACCAAAATCAACTATAATAAACACATTTCTAATAAAAAAAACAAGTTTACACAGTCTTTAAAAGTAATTAAAAACTATAAAATAAAAATTAATTGAAATCTAACAAACACATATACTACATACCAGTGAGTTACCTGCTTAACTATGAATCCTTAATGACCTACTGCTGCCATAAACCACTTCCAAACTAGGATAGGCCCGCACATGCTGGAAAATTGAAAGAAAAAGGAGAGAAAGAGAAGAAATACATTTGAAGAAGGTACAAAAGGGCTCTGAATGTTCCTGTGTCTAATGATAGCCTAAATTAAATACAAAAATTAACTGCACTCAACAAATAAGGAATGAAAATAAAAAATAATACCTCAAGTGGCTTATAATTATCTGACGTAAATATCCTAGCAAAGTGTGCCTTAGTGATTCATTCTGAAGTGCGGATGCAAAATAATTAACCTTTTTCCATTTCCTTCTCTTTCTTTGCCTGTGTTGCTTGATTCTACATGAAATAGAATTCAAAATTGAATAGCCAAAATTTCAAACACAGTGCCAGTTGCCAGTGCAACATTCAAAAAATAATAATTTTAAGATTGTTTATCTAGATTGAAACCCTTAACAAAGGAGACCTCAAACAATAAACCACAATAAAATGAATAATATGTGAAAAGCTATGTCTCAGGTGACTTGTAATTAAATTACATTAAAAAATCTAAATATAGAGCTGCTTAGTAATTCTTAGTAATTCTTTCCTAATGTAATGTGTACGTTAATCAGAATAAGATGAATAATAAGTGAAAAGCAAAGTCTCAGATGACTTACAATAACTGACATAAAAATCCAAATAAAGGGCAGGCTAGGGATTCTTCCCTTAAACCAGGACTGCAAATATTGTGCACATTTGTGCATTATTTACATATAGTTATTTTATGATAACCCGACCAAAAAAAACTGAGAAAAGGTCTATTGGAAAATATCTATCATATATTAAGTTTTATCTTGCCTGTGTGCTCTATTCATAGAAGTTAAGACACCCAAGTTAATTCTAGGTTTCTGTGAACAAGCCCCATTTAGACACATAGAAACATAGAATGTGACGGCAGATAAGAACCATTCGGCCCATCTAGTCTGCCCAATTTTCTAAATACTTTTATTAGTCCCTGGCCTTATCCTATAGTTAGGATAGCCTTATGCCTATCCCACGCATGCTTAAACTCCTTTACTGTGTTAACCTCTACCACTTCAGCTGGAAAGCTATTCCATGCATCCACTACCCTCTCAGTAAAGTTATACTTCTTGATATTATTTTTAAACCTTTGCCCCTCTAATTTAAGACTATGCCCTCTTGTTAATCTTTTGCTTCTAGGGGTTCATTTACAGTTTAAGGGTTGCCTTCATAGTGAATTATTAATTTAAATGGGATATTTGTTTTTCTCTAAGGATCAAAGATGATTCATGAAAGTTGCAGCTGAAAGATCAGAAAAAAAAATCAAATCTCTCTGGATCTTTTAGCCCTGATAGAATGTTTTCTAACTTATTTTGTAATTAATTATTTAAGGTAGTAATTTGAAAAATGAACTATAACGTACGCGGGAGCAGTGATTCTTTTTGGTTTTCGTAGCCTGTGGAAATGCATCAGTGAATGTGGTCCAAAAGATGATATTTTTGATACTATAGAAAATTAGTTCAGCAGATATTCTTTAAGGTGCAGGCCTGAAACATCTTCCAGAATTCCTCTAATTCTCAGATTCTTTTCAAGTCCTCCAAATCTGACATTTTAGTTTCCAGATGTCATTGACGCTAAGGTGGTATCCTGAAACTGTATGGAAATTTATGTTTTTTCTCAATTAACTTAGAGGACCATCATAATATCCTGATTAAGCTAAACCAAACTAGTCAGTCCAGACACCGGATCCTATCCTGACAACCAAGAAATTGTTTTATTTTATTGCTGCAATACCTGTTTCTCGCCTCTAGTGGCCTCCCTAACCACTAGTCAATCCTCAGTTTCTCTCACATGCCTCATTTGATCTTCCAAGTCTGCTATAAAAGGCTACACCCAATGCTTCACATGGGTTTTTACATTGAAGTCAGTGTTCTGACATAGAACTTCTGATCCTGGCTCCTGAAAACATCCTGTATCCTGGCTCCTGAAAACATCCTTGTTGCAAACTGCTATTTGTAACTGGCCCTTTAAATGGCAAATTGCCCTGCTTCCCTGGGTTGTGGAGAAGCCTACTTGCCAGCCTCCTTCCACATGACTATGGCCTCTGGGAGATTGTGAGAACTTATGCACTTTTATTGGGTGTGTATGGCCCTTTAAGACAGCCAGTGGGCATATTGTGGCTTATGGACTCTTTATGGGACTGGTGCTGGCCCTTTAAACACCTTTTTGGGACATCAGGAAGATTGGGACACTGCCCTTTAAGACGGTGTCCCCTGTGTCCCCAGACCTGGTTCAAACTCTTTGTGCCTGGCTATTTCCCACTTGGTTCAGTAAATGGGGCTTACTGAACCAAGTACCACACAGGCAGACCACCCAGAAGTGGAAGTGTGCAGGCAATTTACCTCCCAGAAGCTGCGGTTAACCGCAGCTTAATTGACAATGCTGGGTGGCCTTTGTTCGTTTGCCGAACACGTGGCGGCGGCCATCTTTGTTAATGCAAACGAGGTCAGCGGTATGTGTAGCCAAATTCATGGAACTAAAATCGGCTACACATTTCCGCGAACACCGCTGAGCTCTACCTTCTCCCACAATGATTTTACAGCCGCAGAGACTAAGTCCCATTCGTTTTTTCAGCCTGAAATAGACCGACCACACAGCCCAAATCTATGGAACTGTTTTGGGCGGGAAAATGTGCTTGCGGTCTGTCATAAAGGGACCTCCAGCTAACTTTTTTTGGTTATGTTTATGTTTAAAGTGTGCTGATTCCAAATATGTAATTTTTATGAAGATTGGATGTGTAGTTTTAAAGTTATAGTACATGTATAAAAACTGTATGTTTCCTGCTTGTGATAATTATGTTAAGCATTGTGTGCCATAATTAGATCACAGGCAGAGGGGAGGATTTTTGTGGGTAATTGCTGGGAGTGTTTTCTGTAATGTACGTATGTTATTGGTTATCCTGTAAAACCCTGTGGGTGGTCCTATGTAGGGAAAACCTGCATAAAAGAAGGCCCTTTGGTGCCAAGTAAAACAGATCTTCTTGACCCTCGATACGTAGCCTTGTCTCGTTATTGGAGGGAACTGCTATATCACACTGGGGATTGCTATGCTCTGCATACTCCCGTGAGCTTTTAATCACTTAGCTCTTTTAAGAGCTGTTCCTGTTACGCTCTCCTGGAGGAGAGGTCTTCCCCACACGGTCCTGGAGGACAGAAGCTGATCCAGGGTGGAAGGAAGATGGCGAGACTCTAGTTAAGCTACGGCGGTTGTGGAGTCTGTGGTGGTTGTGGTGTCTGCTGCAGTGTTTGGAGTCCTCAGGAAGTGCTAGGAGCATCCATCAACGAAGGGTACTCGGTTGGAGTACAGGGAGCTCCGTTACAATTCTGATCCTCTTTTTAGACTCCATGTGTCCCGTCGCCGGAATCATCCTGAAACTCTTAACCTCAACTACTGCAACTCTGCAAGATCCTGTAAGCAACCTGTATTACATTATACTGGAATCTACTTACCTGATTCACCTGCTGCAACACTGCATGATCCTGTAAGCAACCTTTATTACATTATACTGGAATTTTACTTACCTGTCTCGACTGCTGCAACTCTGCATAATCCTTTAAGCAACCTGTACTATATTATACTTAAAGTACTTACCAGCTTTAACCATTTCAACCCTGTATCATCCTGAACCTGGCTGCAGTGTGACATTCCACAGATTACTAATCTACTTGGAAATAACGTCAAACCTACTTGTATATAAAATACTTTATTCATTTACTTTCAAGATATCCTGTTTGTGGCATATTGCCTTTATTCTGTTTTACTCTCAAAGTATCCTGTTTGTGGCATAGTGCCTTTATTCTGTTTTAACTCTCAAAGTATAATTTTTGTGGCATATTGCCTTAATTCATTAAATGTAACAAGAAATAAGTAAATAAGAGTCAGGATAGGTGGTTCCAGTTCCATCAATGAAGGGGCTTGTACCCTAAGTAGAAAGTTAAGAGATAGAAAGAACTAAGAGTCTCAAAAAAAGAGACTCAAGAAAGCTATCCCTAGAAGGTAAGCAAAGCTACGCAATTAAAACTGCCTATGTATCCCCCCCAAAGAGAAATTAATCAAATGACTCAGTGCTGAAAAAAGATAGAAGTGGATCAAGAAACTAGTGCCACCATGTGAAAAAACAAAAAGTGAGAACTGAGTAGGAACCCGACGTGCGTTTCGGTGCTTCTAATGCACCTTCGTCAGGGAATGAGTGCTATGTTATTTTCTTTAGCTTTATTTTAAGAGTGATAGGAATACTATATGAGAATTCTTTGTTTGCCTTATGTACCTAGATATTCATCTAATCTTTTCTAATGAGGTAGTACTTCAGGTTATAGAATATTGCTGATTGTAGTATACCCTTGGAGGTGCACTTTATAAGCATAATAGTGGCTCTACTTTATACATAATTTCCTATAAGTGTCAACTTTAGGTTAATTAGGAGAGATTTTTTTTAGCCTTAATAGATCTAACATTTGGTAACTCCTGTTTGCCTCTATTATTATTACCTTCTCCCTCTAAAGCTATCCTCTACAATAACAACATACACCCAATAGATTCTTTCTCTGTCAATTTACTCCCCCTACTAATAGTCAGTGTATTTATCCACTATATTTGCACTCCAATTTCCACTGATAGTGCCTTTTTGTATTTGAATTATAATAAAGTATTTTAAATTTTTGTGGCACTCTTTGGTATTAGCACCTTTTTAGGCTATACTGGATTAACCACACTTAATAATACTCAGTGCTAATTTTTAAATCATAATATGTATTATGTATTTTTCTATATTTCGCTTTCATAAAACCAGTCTTGAGTCTCATTTTTTTGAGACTCTTAGTTCTCTCTATCTCTTATATTGCCTTAATTCTTTCTTTCAAGTACATTGTTATGTAAAAAAAGACAAATAAAGTTTCAACCAATAACCCTGGCAATCGTCTCCTATCTGACCTGCTCAGGAACATGACACCGTAATCAAAATTCATAAACAGATAAAAAAGCAGTATATAGTCACTTAATCCTTTAGAGTTTCTTCTCCAGTATCCTCATAAAGCTTCAATATTTTTTCCCCTATGGGGTACTCACAGCCGTGTTTACAAGGTACTATTCATCTTAACAGCAGTGGGTTTTATCTAGTGTTCTGATGGTATCTCTGCTCCTCTTCTGCTTGTGTCTGTTCCAGTTCTAGCATAACATGTGTTCCAATATCTGGTTCTCCTGCAATATTACTTCAGGTGCCTTGGAGAATGCGGTGTAGTTGGAATATGCATGTGGTTTGAATCGGACTCTACTCCAATTTAGCATCAGTAAAGAACTGCTTCCCCTCGCATCAGGACACAAAAAAATACACTAACCCAGTATACCCTGGTGGAGGACACCTATTTTCCTCTATTTCCTTGATTAGGGAGATTTAAGCAGGGGGGAGATGAATGTAATGCATCTACATGAGGGGGAACCCCACCATGCGTTAAGAAGATCCAAATATGACACAATGTGGGCTTGCATACCTCACATTATCACCATTTGTCCCTCCAATGCTGACAATGCTCTCTCTAAAAAATTGACAAATGCTTAATGTGCAAAAGAGATTGCAAAATCTTGTAAGAGTAGCAAAACTGGAAAAATTCTCCAACTTTTTTTCCAAACAGCTACCTTGGTCTAGGTATTGTAATTTCCTTATTAATTCACCTCAATTCACTTTTTAGTGAATAGACTCTTTAGTATAGTAGCCTTCTTAGAGGAGATATTTTGGTATTAATCAGTCATTAAACACTTTTTAATTATTAATAAGAAAAAAATCCTTGGCAAGGGACCTGCATTCTGTCATGGGCAAAAAAATGGTTGGAGGCACAAATAAAATACTTGCTTCCCGAGAGCCTTTTGACCTTGCTACACTTCTGCTACTCCTCAATTATCATAATCCTTTTTAATCCCTTCAGTATCCAAATCTAGTATATTTTTCTATAAATTTTTTTCATTTATACATCCTGCATTTAAACAATTTTTTTTGCAAGAATTGACTAGTCACTGATATAATGCCTGTAAATTTGCTGTAATGTAGTCTCATCTGCTGTTTTCTAACAGTACAAAAGGTTTTAATAGGTCATAATATTCCTACAGTCATGGAGGGGGATGAGTGAAAGGTTAATTTCATTGTCAGCATTACATTAGCAGTCCATATATCGATACAGATTGCAATAGCAGTTTTAAGTATCTTTATGTTAAAATTATATGATTTGACTGTGTTTTCTGAATGTGGGCATTATGCTCAAATGCAGGTATTCGTTTTACATTCTGTTGCCATTTTTATCAATCTACACTGCTAGTAATTCCTTCAGGGTGCTTACAAAAACTATAGGCAAGGTATTTGACCATTTGTTTTTACCCACCCCCAACACTACAGTTAAATAAAGGTATAGTGTGAAAAAAAACAACTTTCTTTATGTATTAACACCAATCAAATAAGAACATTAATATGATCCCTATTGGTTCAGGACCACATTCCAGAATTCTCAGGCAAAGAATGCAATGTGACTTATTGATCCCATCTGTTACTTATGCTCAATCTAGACACCGCATCTAATGTGTGAATAGAATATGCAATATTTTACAATTGCCTATGTTTATTGGTTGTCCTTAAAATCATAACACAATGTCCGTGATCTGTCCATTCATACATGTTTTATATAACATTCATATCACAGTCACTGAGTATAAGACAAGATGAAGTCACAACTTTATGGTATATAAGAATTCTTAGAAGGTTGAGGTTCTACACTTCTTTTATTTCAAACTCCCTCTGTTTCAGATATGTATTGATATCCACATCCATTTTATATTTTATTACTAAATAATATATATATGTATGTGTGTGTATATATATATATATATATATATATATATATGTATATATATATTTATTTGTGTATGGGATAATAGTGGGATGTATGATTAAATTAATGTAATTTGATAAAAAAGTTGGTTGAGGTGTGCCAAAACCGACGAGAGGTTAGACCTGCAATAAAGAGGGCCCACCTAGATAAGTTAATATGAAATAATAAAGGGTGAGGTGGGAGGGGAACTTCCGAAATCGGCAACTACAGGTGAGCAGGGGTTACTGGGGTTATATAGGACCAATAATTCCTCCCACAATTTCAGGCATATGCCTTCCACTTGTGTACGGAATAATAGTGGGATGTACGATTAAATGAATGTAAGAACAAAAGTCGGTTGAGGTGTGTGGCGAAACCGACCTCGCCACTGGGCATTGGAGAAGACTGATTGCCAGCCTCCTGCCATGTGACTATGGCCCCTGGGATTATTGCACTTTAAAGACATGATTTGGGCATAATGGATTTGTGTTGTGCTGCTGCTGGTCCTTTAAGAACCATCTGGGGACATACTGTGGAGTTACTGGGTGGCCACCATTTCATGTATCAGAAGCACATGGTGAGAACAATGGATGAATCACATGGTGAGAACAATGGATGGCGGCCATTTTAACTCACAGACACTGTTTGGACTTTTCTACACGGTGCCATCTCGCCGGTATTTGGTGCACAAAGACATCGTGCAGTAGTTTTAAACTATACAACAGGGGACACATTATACAGTAATTATTTTTCATATAGCCTGCATATGTTTTGCGGAATCTGAATTAAACTGTATCTTCCAAACTACTGAACGGATCTGGGTGAATTTTGGATATGTGGTTCACCCAGATCCTCTGGTTCCGAAGTTATACTTTTATCGGGTTATTGCATTTTTTGGGGTCCCTGTGATATGTTTTATAATACTGTATTTCTATGCATGTGATAATTATATTAACAATTGTGTTCAGTAATCATATCACAGACAGAGGGGAGGATTTTGTGTGGGAGTGTCTGTGTGTATTGTATGGATTGATTGGTTGTATTTCAAAACCCTGTGGGCAGTACTATATTTGTGGATTGTGAATAAAAGAGGCTGTATGTGCCAGTACAGGCAGTTCTGCTTGAACCTCAAAACGAAGTGTCGTCTCGTTACTGAGGGAATCTGCTACAATGGATTAGTATGCTAGTCATACTCCCTTGCTATAGCACTACTAAGCTCTTGTAAGAGCTTCTTCCTGTCTTGCTCTCTGGAGGAGTCTACAGTGGTTATGATGTAGGCTGGAGTGCTTGGAGCCCTCAGGAAGCACTAGGAGCATCCTTCAATGGAGGTACCCAGTCGGGGTGCCAGGTGATCCGTTACATTGGTGGCAGCGGTGGGATGGCATCCTGGTGTGAGAGGAACAGCACCCTGGAGACACCGGAAGTATTATGGATTATTTCCTTCTCTGGGTTTGGAATGTACTTATTGTATGCAGAGGATTTCCAGCGACACAATGATATGTGTCAGAACGTGATTACTGGAAGCTGCTGTAACAGCCCCAATACGGAATGAATGACCTGAGAAGGAGGTTGGAATGAAACCTAGTCTGAGTAATAGTGTGCGTATATATACACCATGAATTTTTTGGTGGTAAGAGGTTTCCCTTGAAGAGATTATAGTGGGTAATCAGGGTTTTTGTGATCTGATTTTTAATTAAATTGTCCAATCCTTGTACTGGACACCATTTTGAAAAAGTAGGATAATACTTAATTTCTACTGGGGGCCTGTCTGGCTAGTTTTGGTTTGAGGGATTGATAGAACATAATGGTTGTTTACTTTTGATAAGTATTTTTTGCTTAAGGCATGACTTAAAGTCAGATGTTTTCTCCACAGAAAATTCTTTGGGTCTCAAGAAACCATAAAACATCAAATATGCTGCTGACTTGATTACCAGATTAGTGGGATTGTC